ACATCTGGGCCTGACACGCTGACCTTGGGGCTATTTTTTTCACCAATTTAGCTTATCAATGATCACCATTAGTCGCTGTTTCGATTGTGTTCCTTGTTACAAGTTGCATGTCATACATGGTTGTCGATTTAAAAGTCCAGATTCCATTTCAGGAAGCCATTTCGTGTGAACATGCATCTGGTTGTCAGTTAGAGCAGGAGGGGGGGGGGGGGGGGGGTCGTAACTGGACCCTTTTCGAGAGGAGGGGGTCATACTCACACCGCCATTTCGCACATCCCCATGCTGTACCCTGCGTACACTAGCTCATAGCGTATTCAGAGATCGGGAGCGTTTTTGTTCCTTGGTGGATGCCTGACCAGCAGAATCCCGAACTCCCTGCCCCCCCCCGTCCACCTCTCGCTATCAGCTGCTCTCCAAGGCTCAGCTCGATGCTCGACACACTGTATGTACAGTCCTCATCATTGCAGACCGGTGGGGCGGGTGAGCCGCGCCGCGTGTGACTCGGCTGTGATGACAGTCGCGTCACAGCCGAGTCACACGCGCCGCCCCACCGGTCTGCAATGATGAGCACCATAAGTGGCGTTCACCTCCGCTCCTGCCGTTGGCGAAAACACACTGATTTCACTGAGTCATATTTTGAAAGATTCGTGAATATTTTGTCATTGTTATAATTCAGCTTACCAGGAAAGGATGGTTGTCGAAGTGGCCATTTGAAATGAGATGTATACTGCCCGATGGGCCCTTGGACGCTGATTACAAATCTGCCCTCCATATCTGCTAAACGATTTCCTGGACAAAGTTATGCAGGATTTTGACCAGGTCACACCCATTTCCAGCATGTATATAGGTAAACCAAAACGCCAAAACTCGCTGAAATCTGAAATTAGAGGTACTGGTGCCCTGGAACTCAACACTGCAGTCATTTTTCGTGGAAATATCTTGTTTGCCTTCTGGAGGGGCAGGGTGTGCAATAACCGGCAATGTCCTTGGCAAGCGTTTTTACGCCGAACGAGTGTGATATCCCTGTTTTGGGAAATTAGCCCTGGAGACAAGTTTTCAACCAAATTTGCAATTTGGACCTATTTTCGCTACAGCGGGGTAACCATGGGCATCAAAATCCTTAAGGGCATTTTCCGCGATAAAATAATTCTATGACCTTTCAAATGTGTCAGACGATCCGGAAGGAGATTGCGGAGGCTGCGCTACCTTTAGAAAGTGAAAATCGGCAAGAATTCCGCTTTAAGCTAACCAATTAGGCCCAAGGGCGCCCCTTAGGCCCATGCCGACCCCCCGGCTGCTAGCTACTAGCTAGTAGCCACTATGCTATCTCTCTCCATTCCGAATGGTGAGAGTGAGGTGATACGATAAAAGAGCTGATATCTTTATGATAACGACGAGTGGAAATTCGTACAAACATGCGTTTTCTTCATTGCATGCATGTACAAGTTGGGGTCGATATGGAATCCTATTTAGGGCATTTTCGGCTGTTTTTCTGCTGCTTTTCTCCGCTAATCAGATACCTAGCCCTTTTTCGTTCCTATGTGGGTTCCGTTACCCACAATCTGTGGTCGCGGGCTTTGCCTTAAAGACACATAGTACGCTCATACACATTGAGGGTGTATGAGACTATCAGCCCCCCAGATGTCGATGTGTCGTGGTCCCCCGCCCAAACATGCCCAGGAATGGAGATACAGGGCCGTGAAACACGCTAATTCTTCCATGCTCCGCCCACTGCCTTTTTACGGCGCAGATTCCCGCCGTTCTGAACATCCGTCGTAAGCGCGCCTGTCGCGTGCGGCTCCTTGGCACTTTGCCAAGTCCTTTAATTGCGCTCTCAAATACGAGTAAAACGCAATTTCCTGATGCGGATAACATTGGAGGTGCTACAAAATAAGAGCAGAAGATGATGACAAGGGGCAGAACTCAAGAGCAACTCGGCTGCATCTGCAGTATCCATCAAGGGCCGCGCATTCCCACAAAACATGAAAATAAAAACAGCCCAAGCGTCCCACTCGTTTGTTCTAAGTATTTCTATGGCTTTGGCGCCGGATCGTAGAAATTTACAGGCCAGTTTATCTAATTTGCCTTTCCTTGATTTTTTCATTTTTGTTTTGTTTACATTTACATCGTTGTGCTTCATTTCTAGCCTGTGTCATCTTCATCTCCTTGTACATGGATTTTGAAGCATGAGCAACACCTAGAATTTTATTCGCATCAGGAAATTGCGTTTGTATCAAACTAACAAGTATGCCCTTTTTATTTTCATGTTTCGTGAACATACGCGGCCTCCGAGGGATGTTGCAGAAGTGGCACAGTTGCTTTTAAGTTCTGACCCTCGTCATCATCTTCTGTTCTTATTTTGTAGCACCTCCAATCAGGAAATTGCGTTTTACTTGTATTTGAGAGCGCAATTAAAGGACTTGGCAAAGTGCCAAGGAGCCGCACGCGACAGGCGCGCTTACGACGGATGTTATGAACGGCGGGAATCTGCGCCGTAAAAAGGCAGTGGGCGGAGCATGGAAGAATTAGCGTGTTTCACGGCCCTGTATCTCCATTCCTGGGCATGTTTGGGCGGGGGGACCACGACACATCGACATCTGGGGGCTGATAGTCTCATACACCCTCAATGTGTATGAGCGTACCATGTGTCTTAAAGACACATGGTACGCTCAACACATTGAGGGTGTATGAGACTAACAGCCCCCAGCTGTCGATGTGTCGTGGTTTCCCCGCCTGAAACTGCACGGGGTCCGAGTACGGGACCGTGGGAAAGGCTTATTCCTTGCTACACCGCCCAAAATGCAACTTGCGCGCGGCGAAATGCAACTTGCGCGCGGTGAATTTTGGGCGGTGTAGCAAGGAATAAGCCTTTCCCACGGTCCCGTACTCGAATCGGGCGGGGAAACCACGTTACATCGACAGCTGGCTGTGTATCTGCATAACACTTAAGAATGTGTGTTGAGCGTACCATGTGTCTTTCAAAAGAATCATATTAGGTTGTCCGGAAAGTTCTCAGCGTTTTGTGCACCTATTTTTGTACATTCACTGCTGATTAAAAACTCATTCTGCCTTGCTTCTCAGTAGCACATCCTGTAGAGAATTTCTTGCGCTATCTGATGGTATAATTGCCGTTTCACCATTGCTTGATAAACCCCTTTTTTCAAGATTTTTTCAAGCATGTGAAAAGAGCACTTCGGACGATTTTTTTCTTCGACTATAAATTGGGGCAATCCGCAATCGAAACAGCTCAACAAATTAACCAGGTGTGGGGGCCCAATAGTGCTAGAGAAAGCACTGTGCGGCTCAACAAATTTCGTTCTGGAGATTTCAGCCTTGAAGATGAACCTCATAGCGGTCGACCTAAAGCAATATCTGACGAGGATTTTGGAGGCTGACCCATCCCAAACAGTTCGAGAGATAGCAGAAGAGCTAGGCCTTGGCAAATCCACTGTTGCAGATGGTCTGGAACGCATTGGGAAGGTGAAAAAACTCGACAATTGGGTGCCCCACAATCGGAGTGACCGGCAGGAATCGGCACGTCTCGAGGTTCCTTCTGCATTGCTTTTGCGCAGCAGAAACGACCTGTTTTTGGGCCGAATTGTCACCTGTGATGAAAAATCATGTATGATAACAGGAGACGTTCCGGACAGTGGTTGGATTTCGACGAACCACCGAGGTAATTTTCAAAGCCGAACCCTCACGAAAAAAGATTCTCACGGCTTGGTGGTCATCGGCTGGTGTGATCCACTATAACTTTTTATCACCAGGCCAAACCATCACAGCAGAACCCTACTGTGAAGAAATCGACGAAATTTTGTCAGCTGCAGCCAACACTTATCAAAAGAAAGGGTCCGATTCCTTTGCATGACAACGCCCGCCCACACGTTTCACAAATCACTATCCATAAATTGAACGAATTGGGGGTTGAAGTTCTACCTCAACCGCCATATTCTTCAGACCTTTCGCCAATCGACTATCACCTTTTCTAACATTTTCAGAACTCCCTTGCTGGAAAATACTTCATCAATCAGGACCAGGCAAAAAAGCCTTCGTGGATTTCGTGAATTTTCGACCACCCAGTTTTTTACTTTGATGGGATTTCTCGACTGCTGTCACATTGGCAAAAGTGTGCTGATTCGAATGGTGCCTATTTCGATTAAATCCGATGAGTATTAAAAAAGTTACGATCGTTTAAAGTGAAACACCCAAAACGCTGAGAACTTTCCGGACAACCTAATATTTGTATCCACTCCACATTCCACTCCCAATGACAAAAATCGAAAAAACTAAGAACAGTTAGAAGGCAACCATGCTGTATTGTAGGACGGAAATTATCTATCAATTCGTGGAACATATCGGAACCGATCCTTATTTTTCACCTGAAAACTTGTGTAAGAAAAAATTGCCAGTACTTAGGAGCAACCCAATACCAAGACAGCCAATGGTGAATAAAGTTGCGCCTGAGAGTGGAAGGTAATTGATGACAGCACGATGGCTTTATTTTGTAATTCGCTGGGTGCACTTCATGTACAGAAAATGGGATGGACGTAACTGCATGCTTCATTCGAGCATAAAATGCGTTTTTCGTGAAAGAAACACTTCTGGGACAGCTGTCATCCTGCATTGTGTCGAATGCAGGCACGACTATAATTGTCCCAGAACGGCAGTATCTCCCCAAAAGCGCAGCCGCCATCACATTCACATGCAGTACTCAGCCACGCCCGCTGGTTGCACGAATAAAACTTCTTTGTGAATTTGCGAAACTGTTGTATGACTCCTCCGTTAATTTACAATTATTAAATTTTTTACACGCTATTTGGTACGGAATGTAGGGGAACGATACAACGTGGATGGAAAATGAACACTAGCTGTCGTAATTAATCGTTTTTGAGATGTTAATAACAAAGGAAGATAGATCGGATATCCTGAATATGGAAATGGGAAGTTGGGCTGGAACCACTACTTAAGCAAAGAGTGGAATACTAGTCGACACTCCGGCAATGCGTTTCCTGTCTCGTGTATCTCTTGCACTCCTGGTCAGTTTTATGTCTCGCTTGATTCCCGAACATTTCTGACATTTTCACACCTATTTCAGCTAGCCACAGCAACATTAGCACAAGACGAAGAAGATTACGACTATAGCGATTACAGTGGTAATACTGACCTAGGCGGTGGCAATGGAAATGGAAACAACCAAGGAGGCCAAGTGCAAGCTCCAGCAACACCCGCACCAGTGGTGGTAAAAACACCCGCACCAGTGGTGGTAAAAACACCCGCACCAGTGGTGGTAAAAACACCCGCACCAGTGGTGGTAACAACACCCGCACCCGTGGTGGTAACAACAACTGTGAATCCAAGTGAGCCAAAATCAATAAAACCGTAAGGCTATAGGGTTGTACTGCCTACGTCGCCGTCCGGCCCTTCAAAACCACCTCAACACAATGCGTTTCGCTTTTGCTTATTCTCAGAAAAAATTCATTTCAAAAAGCACTCCATTTTTCCAGACAACATGAGGTGCCCACAAAATAGCGGTGTGAATGACCGGATAAGAAATGCTGCACTTGAAGGTCACAACTACAGAAGGTTCAGTTCAATTTTACTATGTTCCACATCTTCAACAGTTCATGTTTTCCATCTGGGGTTGTAATGAGGCGATTAAGGTCGAGACTTGCCCAAGGATTGGTCAAGAATAAGAACGGCAAAATCCTCCCACAGGCGACAAATATGCTCAAATTGGTAAGTTTTTTTTGAACTCCCAAAAGGCTGATAGGAGGTGCCGCTAGAAACACTCGTCTTTGAACACAACAATGAATCGCTAAACAGGTGGTTAATTTCGCATGTGGAAAGCTACTTAGTACCCAGTTTTTAGAGGACTTCTCCTTATAAGACTGACGAAAGACAGTCTTCCCGCATATGGATAAAAGCGCTTCGGGATCTCCCAAGCAAATTCTGAGCAGTCAAACTCGTGGGAGTTGCCATTCTTCTTCGCGGTTAAATAGCAAAGGCTGCCGGTTAGGAGACCTCCTTATAAAAATGCGATTGCCTGCTTAGGAAAACTCTCGGAAGATCATGCATGACACACGCACAAGCAATGATGCGCAAGTGTGCTGAAGCTTTCGCGGTCATAGAATTCTTAATTTTCTGGAACACCCTTGACATTCGGTGGTCTGCGCTGCTGATGGGCCAGTACCGTACTTCAAGCACAGTAACTGTTCCCCGCTCGCACGGACACTTCGACGATTTCATACCGGCGTCCCATATTCTAGGATTCTGTGGGATCCAGCTGAGCTTCAGTGGGTGAAAGAACTCGCTCTAACTTTTTTCTCTGAGCAGATCTGTGTAGTGTGCACATGGCTTCTTCTTCTAGGAATATGACTGCACACTTGGAAACCTCGGCTAAAAAAGCTGTGGATAGGTGCTCCACGAAGTCCGTCGTCAGGCCTTTCATCTGGTGTACAGGAAAACATCTATAGTCTTCCACAAGCCAGCGTTTCTTCTCGCGTTAATGCCATGATTGAGGTTCGTATTTATTGTGTCATATTGTTGCAATGCGTAAGTGAGCCATTCGTTCAGGCAATCAAGTATTGGTGGAGTCAGCTGAGAGTGGTCGGTACTGTAGGGACTGGAGTCACGTTCAGAAGTTCCCAGTCGGGTAGTCCAATCAGCTATTTCACCAGGGTGAGGCTGCTCAGGACAAACTAACATATTTCTGTGGAATTTGTTACAAATATAGAGAGACGTAGTTCCATCCCGGATTCTCTTGAAACGTTTTTAATATGCTGTAACAAGACAAATATGAACAACGGACTTCAGATGGCCTGGGCAACCACTGCAAAGATTGGATGTGCTGTTACACAGAAAAACAAGTGCCCCAATTCTTATTATATTGCGTGCCACTACCAGATTGGGTACTATTCTTCTTCTTCCTTAGTCCATCCTATATGATATCTCAAATGAGTATTTTCAGAGGTAATGTACCCGATGCTAAGATCTACACTCCGGGCAATGCATGCTCTCAGTGTCCCGGTGGCTATCGCTGTGGCTCAGACAAGCTGTGCAGTCGCTCTTAGACGATTATCTAACACTTCTAGCACAATAGATGCCTTCTCACGTTTCTTTGTTTCGTTTCTAGGCAATAAAAAAGACACTTCGCTCTTGGATAGGATCATTGAAGTTCACTTCGCATAGGATTGCAAACTACAAAAAGACGCATGTGTAGTATTCTCAAGATATTTCTATCTATACAAGCGCAAGAGCACTTCACCTCACAATCAGCCTCCACTCTCACGACAGTGCGATGTCATCGGTCATCGCGTCAGGCACTTCCTACAATCGCGTCAGCCTGAAGCTACTGTGTGGTTTCCACGGCTGTGAACCAGCATGCGGGTTCACAGAGAGTGTCTTATGATTGTGCAAGAGATCAACTCTTCCGGCTTTTTATGACAAGGCCGCTATGGTCCATGATTTAACAGCCAACATATTGAGATCATAACACGCCATTGTGAATGTGAATCTCTGCTGAATACGCTCCCTCCCCCACCTACCTGCTCGCTGCTAATCTGAAAGCAGCGGACCAGATTAGCAGCGGACAAACAAACTCCGAAAAAAAACAGAAGATCTGCGAAAATGAACGACAAAAAGGCGCGAAGTTCATCAAGGGTAAATGTGAGGAATACAAAGAAAGTGAGCCATGACAACTCTTTCATTTCACAAGCCAGCAGCTTTGTGTGCCGTTTTGTATGTATGTATGTATGTATGTATGTATGTCTGTCCGTCCGCAAATGCTTCACGGGTTTGAGTTAGCGGGAGGAGAAAACGACCGCTAGACAAACCGGTAACCGATTGGTGCGGATGTATCAGTCCAATGTTTTGATTGTGATAACAGCCTCCGCTATATAAGACAACCACTCGGTACACTCCGAGCCATTGCACGAGCTGCTGCCGTGGCAGCTGGACGTGTGCTCGTGCGGGGGCAGGGTGGGGTGGAACGAGGGGGGGGGGCACCGAGTGACCCTCCCCTCTGCTTCCTTCCCCTGCACGTGCTCAGCCGGACCTGAGCATGTGCAAGCGAAGGAAGTAGAGGGGAGGAGGTACGGTGAGGGGGGGGGGGCGTAGTACGCGCTTGAGTAGGATAAGCAGGAGAAGAGGATACAACCGCTAGCAAAACTGCAAGGTAATCCATAATAAAGTAACAAACTAAGATGTTGTTCTGATTGTGATAATACCCTCACCCTATACAAGACAACCATTTAGTACACCCCAAGCCATTGCTCAAGCTGCTCGCGTGGCAGCTGGACGTGAGCTCGCACGTGGGTTGCTCCATCTATTACGATTCGATCAAAGCAGCGCATTATGAGTAGCTAGGTGAAAGAACAAATTCCGTTCCCATTATGAAGTGCGCCTGGCGAAGCCAAGCCAGCTAAAGATAAGGAGGAGAGCTCGGCGTCAGCCGGGCGATCCGACTGGTTCACAACTAAATAAGCAAAAATAATGAACCATCAATGAATCCAATAAGACATAAAAATGAAAAAACGGAAAAATCCATGTGCTAGCACTTAAATATTAATCGCTCGCGGCCATCCAAAGTTGAGAGCTTAATTAGAGCACGCTTTGTGCCGTAGCATTGTAACGAGCTATTTCACGATCCGAGTTGTACCAAGCCAAACATTAGGGAAGCGCCCTTCGCTGAACACCCATAATTTCTTTAAGAGTGGAGCTTTTGTAGAAGGGAAAGCAGGACTGTGGAGCACTAGATTGACACTTATTCATCTGAGTATAAGCAATTCTAAAAGAACCTCTTTTCAATGAACATTCACCGCTTGTGATCACGTGTGACATTCGGAGTCGCTTTACAAGTTCTTCCGCTTTGAACAGCCGCAAGGCCATTCGCAGAACAAAAGCAGTGACGGAATTCCGAAGGTTTTGCTTTATAGCGAAACTTTTTTTTATCTCTGAGCCTACTATCGAAAAAAATCCCCGTTGTGATAAGGCCAAATCCCTTTCGGATGACATGAAAAACCTACCCCTGCGACGCCATACCACTTCCAGTTCGTCTAATGACTTTGGTATACTTCCGAAACGAATGCTTCCGCTAAGGGTATCAGTTCTAGACAGGGCTTATTCCGTGCAAGCAGATATGCTTCTGCGATTAGGAAGATCTGGAAGTGTATTTAGCCCTAGAGGCAAGTTCTCAACCAAATCTGAGATTTCGACCTATTTTCGATACAGTGGGGTAACCATGGGCAACGAATTCCTTAAGGTCGCTGGCACTATCGCCGATCAAAATCTCTGTGAGCAATGGAGCTTTTCCGCTGAATTTCAGTCCTTGCTGATTGACGGTCCTGATCTAGTTCGGCGACACAACACAACGAACGCAACGAATAATGCCGCCGAAACCAACAATCAGGAGTGTCCTTTAGGAGTGTGCCAGAATGGCTCTATTCCTTCAGAAATAAAATTTTTCGGTAGGATCAGGTCTCCTACCCCCGCAAAAGTGCTTTTAGGATGTGCAAGAAGCATTTCTGAGAAAATGTAAAACGACAAATTACATGAGGATCCGAACTTTTGACCTTGCACGCAGGATGCCCCGCTTCTCCACTACGCCATTGAGGCACTTGCGCGATCTCACCCATCTTTGAGATACTTGCTGAGCATTGGTGGTCTCGAGCAGTGGTCTGCTCAACAAGCCTCCATAATTCTGCTCGAGAATCGTTTAGCAGATTTGGAGGACAGATTTGAAATCAGTGTCCAAAGACGCATCAGCCGGTATACATCTCATTTCAAATAGCCACTTCGACCAACCATCCTTTCCCTGTTAGCGTTATTTAGCAAGTTAGGTGCTTGAAATGGGCAAGAACTCTGGTAACATAGCATGTCACCTGTTGTCATCCCCTCTAAAGCCACCTTAAGTGGAACAGTTCACATGTACAATTGTTGCGGTATGAAGTAGCTCAGGAAGGAGTAAGCTCCCCTGTACAAATCACCTTTGCCTATTCGGTCTCCAGAAACCTACACTTGCATTCAAACCTCCGTAACCCTTGAACTGGCGGTGGTGGTATAGTGGCAAGTGGCACGCTTACCATACACGTGGTATGAGGGCCAGATTCCGCTTCGCCTCCCGCTCTGGCCATCCAAGCCTTCTACTCCCGGGGACGGTGAACTGGTACCAGTTTCGCCTGGGAGGTCAAGAACACTGACTTCTACATCGGCTAATCTCGTAAGTTTTTATAGGCTACAACAAATCTCCCACTACGATTCTGAATGGAAGAAGAAATCTTGTCGCATCTCAAAAACGGATCGATCGACGGCCCAGGGCTACATAATTTCCTTTTAATCTTCATAGTGCCTCAGGGCAATGTGCCTTTGAGGTAACAAGCCGCTGTACTTATTCATCACGTCAAACAAAAGGAGGCAGGGTCAGGACAGCAATTCAAAGAAAAGGAGCAGAGCAGCTCCACGCGGAATCCATCTCAGGCTTCCTCTATCGGATTTTGTTAAGGATATATGGAAGTGGTGACTTGTGACAGTAGCTTCAAACGAAACATATGTACTCATTTATTAGAAACACTGAATGCTTTTCAACAATACTATCTTCGTAAGAACTTTGAGATCATTCACACAAGTATGTCAATCACTAATCCAGAGAACAAACAAAACAGTAGGGCACAATCGAATCCTATAAAAAAAGAGTAGATAAATATTTGAAATCCTCTTGAAATTGGGCTTGGAATCGGGGAGAAGTAGGGATCAAAAGTTGATAGCATAACTTTCCGATCGCTGCTCGAAGTGGACGAAATAAGATGTATGGTATGAAAGTAACCAAATAAAGTGTTAGTGAGCTGAACAAGAAGGCCGTCTAAGGCAAATTACAATCAGGATGAGCAGGATGAAAAACATTTGGATGATGAAAAGGATGCCGAGATATAGGTAAAACATTTACGGGCAGAAGGCGGACAGGATCTTTGACGACAGCGAGAGTGTTGCTCTTGAACTCAAGGACAGGGATTCATGCGGTGGGGGAGAGGTCGCATCGCATGTAACCTGGCTGGGAGAGGGAACGGTCGTAGAGCGCGGGTGCTGGGATTGGCGCGGCGCCAATCAATCTCCATTAATCGTGATGGTTCCGCCTTTCCCCCTCTTCCCCCCAAACAGCCGAGGGTCCTCAGCCAACGAGGGTGTATATACAGCTATCATCGATGAAAAAGTGGGAGCGTTTGTGGTACAAGGCGGCGCAGCTCGGCTTAGTGGGGGCGGTTTGTCGGCTATCGTTGCCGATACCTCCCTGTAAAGGGGACTGTAGTGAGTGAGCTAATTCCCCCTACATAATGCTTGTTCCTGACTCGGCATCCTCCTTATAATCTTCACTATCTGCTATTTGCGGTGAAAAAGGCAGGTAACAGAAGACAATGAAAGGAGGATTTGTTTCAGCAATATCCTACATCAAAAAATCCTACTTCCAGGAAATATCAACATTTCAACATGTTTATAAGGCAAACTTTTCAGTTTTCACATTAAGTAACTCATTGATTTAGAATAACTCCATAGTGGCTGTAGGTAAGCCAAATTTTGGATTCCACTACCCGATAGTATGGTGTGCTTCACCTCGAGGTTATGCTGTTGTTCGAGGAACCAGGGCACGCCACAGAGTTGAGAAAAATTGCGCGTTCAGAACCCCAGAGACTCTACCAAAGGGCTAAATATGACCTATTCGCTAAAACGAGTCTATATCGCTTTGTTGTGATTTCCTGCCTTCAACTACGTCGTGCTCTGGTCTGGGCAAACAACCTTCAACAATTAGTGACTAATAAATGAACCGTCTCGAAAATCGATAACACCGTTTCATGAATTGGGCATCAAATGAGGGACCCGCACAACTAGAGTACTAAATATTCCCTCAGAACCTCCTTTACGATTCTGGTGGTTCAGCGTATCTGGTGCAGTGGCACAAAGGCTTGAGGAAATCCTTTGAGATGCAAGCTGATTGCTTTCCGTACTCATTAAGGCGAGTGAATGTCGAACCAGCCACTTTTAACACCCCATTTTTCGAGCGAATAGGAATCTGAAACATGGTATATAGGGAAGGTAGAGCAAACAATATTACCACATTTTGCAAACCATTAGTTTTGCCACGTGGTCAACCATAACCCAAAACCTAGGGTTTGGTCTGTCTCTTTTCTGTTTCGGTTCTCTATAAACCACGCGACAATAACTCTTACCTCAAAAAGACCACCAGAAGGTGAAACTTGAAAGGTGACGTCATAGATCGCAGTATCCTTTCGCTGTTCTTCCGGCAACACGTAGCACAAGACCGAGTGGACCTAAACATAACACGAGTTCGAAGGAATAAACCAAGCTGACCATGATTGCTGAGGCTGGCCCAGCATTGTGTCTCCTCATTGCTGCAACATCTTTTGCGTTCTTACCATTGCAAGGAGGTCCGCACTAATGAGGTAGATGAACGAATTTCTCTTGAGCTACACTACTAAGCAAATCTCGTACTTTTCCTCTGGAAAGGGAGGGTCGTATTTGGTCGTTGTTGGGAGGGGGGGTCGTATGTGGCTTTGAGAGAAATTTGCCGTGTTGGAGAAAATTTTTCCCTGTTGTTGAATTCTCGTGAATTTTCCTGTTTTATGTGTAATATATCTACCCCCCCCCACCGCAGCTCGACGAGAGATTTTCGGGTGAAAAGCTGGAACGTGTGAGAAATTGGTAGGTAAGTGCTGAGGAAGGGGGGGGTCGTACTGAGACCCTCATCTAGGTGGGTGCTTGTACTGACATCCTCGGGGGGGGGTACCTACACCAACATTTCACACATCACAGTGCTGCATTCTGCCCGTGGATGTTCAGAGCTGTAAGTGCGCTAATGGAGAGCCAGCCGGCCTTGTTACTACACTGCACTACAACTGCTCTGCTACTGCTCAGTGCTCTACATGCAGGGAGGAAGTTCAAGATGAGCACAGTGGAAAACTTCATAGAAACCAGAGAGTACTCACCTGATGAAGGATAAGATGTGAGCAATTCTCAGAAACGTTGTTTTCTTGCAAAACAGCATTGATACCGTCCACGGCAAATTGGCCAAGTTTAATAGCCAGCGCATCATCACTAAATTGTGTGCCCGCATCATCACTAAATTGTGTGCGTTGTAGAAAGTGGACAGAATATCCCCGAGTTTTATTTTTTGAAGATTATATAAAAATTCAGAGCTTTTTGAGTTATGAATTTATGAATGATCAGCTCAGCAGAGGTCGAGGCTATTCCGCCATGCTCAAGTAAAAATGGAAACCAATTCGTATATTTGAGGACAGATCTGGCACCAATAAGATGAACGAGGAGAGGGGTTTATCTGATCAAGGTACAGGTACAAGAGTACTTCATCGGGAGATCTACATGACCACTGTAGAGATGATGGGAAGAATGGGTCGCACTCGGTCGATGAGGGTTGTATCTGGCTTCTAGAGAGATCTTTCCTTTACTTGACTGACGACTTTTCGTGATTTAGCACGTGTTCCCCTCCCCCCCCATTTTTTTTTCTTATAGTTGCCGCAGAACTATTAACAAGTACTATTTCTGACAGTTGATTTCCGTAGTTGAGTGGTAAGGAGCCACGTCAGTTTTGCTATATGAGAAAAACTGGCACAATTTTTGGAAAAGTGGAAAATCGTTGGGGACTTAGGAGAGTTTGATAAGGTCATAAGATTTGAAAAAGCTGATTGTAGTGGAAGAGAGATGACTTGGGAGGGGCGAAACTTGCACGAGCTTTCCCACTGCTACACACCCTACCTTTCTTTACACATGGCTCCATGAATATGCCATGAATAATCGCGGAGTAGGCCTACAACCGGACCAAGAATTTTCTCTTTCATGCTCTTGATTTTTTTTCTAGCCGCACCAATCAAAAAAGGTTGGAAAGAGCAACTGAACCTACTCAAGCGGTATTTTCTCGTATTGACATATGCAGTACTGTGAAGGAATTGGCAACGTCTTGCAATTGCGAACCATCCCTTGTTCAAATTCACGAAGAAGCGATGAGCCACGGCTCAACGGTAGAAATGACTTGTACGCCGTATCAAGGAAGTTCGAAAAAGGCTGCTCCTAAAACAAATAAATATCGATAGAAGAACGCCCTGTTAATTAGCTTCCAGCCCTTATCCTATCGTTTCCGGCCGCTAGCTATATCGGCTATACAAAAGCTCAGATACTGCGCCTTACTAACGTTGACTTGACCTACATATAACAAGTCGAAGTTGTAAGAACAACAACCTTCTGAATATATGCGGATGATGGCGAATGTCTGAGGCGAAGGTAATGTAGTGAGTGGCAAGTGTCGCCTCATACCACGCGCACTGTAGAGAGGTTGCGCATCAAACCAAGCTTCCTGCCCCCCATCCCCCGCCTTAAATTGGAACTCAATTCTTGCTTGAGGGAGAAATAGCCGTCTCATGAAGATAACGAGCAAACGAGGAAAATTGCAATGAAAAACAGCTACGACTTACCATGACAGTAAAGGGGCACAGCACTGCGAATGTGCAAAGTTTTGGATATAGTAGTACCTCCCGCCCCGCCCCTTTTTCCCCTCAATGTCCGTTACTGTCCCAGTTCTAAATACGGATTTTCGGCCAATTTCCCGTCCAAATGCGTGCGAGCCCCCCGATGACCGGGGCGTTGGAGGTCTTCCCTGAACAACTACCTACTACGACCTGCTACAAATAGCTGCTACATAGTGAGTAATTTTGCGGAGCCGTCAACCAAGGGGGGGGGGAAGTTGGCGGCATTACGGTCGAAGCGCGAATAAATCTACAAACGGAAATTTTCCCTGCACAGCACGGTAGCTCTTGCTCGACCCCTCCCCCATCGACTAAAATGCGATCCCCAAGTTGGATATGTGCCATTGATGAGCGCTCGAAATGGAAACAAGTACCTGCTGAAAATGTTCGTCTAGGGCAAATACGACACCCTTCCCAGCGGGCAAATTACGACCTTTACCGTTGTAAAATTTTTACAGACCTGGGTGCTGTTCCCTGATTGAGGTGGGGTGAGCGCACCTGCAAAGGGACTAATCACCAGAGAACGCGTTCCAGTCCCGTTCAGCTTCGAGAATGACTTTGCTCGGCCTTTCCATTCCGCGCTTGTCCCCAGCGGGCAAATTAAGACCTTCACCGTTGTATTTTTCAGAATGGGTGCTGTTAAACTAACTCTTTCAGAGATGACACTGAGATCCAAATGTACGAAAACGGCATTGGCATCTTTTAACTAATGCTCGCTGACATTTCGTCATCAAACTGATGTGACCCTATTCCAGCATATAACATCAGTAAAGCATTCTATACCAGTTTTACTGACGTTCCGCCCCAACTCACCAGTCCCTCTACTCAGTGGACACGGTGCAATATTAACACTCACCTCTAGAATGTCCTTCAGTGTTGCATGAATGTCATGAGGTGTAATGAGTTCGTATTCCTTGGCCTTGAGAACTTTGAACATTTCTGAGTTTCTCAATGATTTCGGAACGGTCATATAGAGGAACGGGTTGTTGGCTTCATGCCTTCCAAAGGTAGTTCTCGTTTCCTGAACAAAGAATTCTCTCGGTAATGGAGGAAATTAGAATTAGCAGAGAAGAAGTTCGAGCTAACTCTCATAGGCACTACCCATTGAATAAGAACATGCTTCGTTTTTCCTCACTTCTCACTTTTTTTTGCTACACAGCTGTATTTCTGTAAATAAAACTCACCTTTCCGAAGCGTGGCCCATGATCACCAATAAAGAAAACGAAGGAGTTGTCAAGCTGGAAATATCGAGAACTGTTAATAGGAAAATTAAAAAGGTATAAAAAGTAACTGCATTGGGGAAATTCTTTCAAGAAAAATTATTCTGCTAGGGAAAACTTTCCAAAGCACCCCTTGAAGCTCCAAAATCTGAAAAAGCGTGCGTGCTAGCACAGTGACTGAGCAGTGCCCTCTACGAAATGTCGCTTCAAATCTGACTAAGTGCAGCAAAGTGTTTCTTCTTTGGGCTAGCTCATTCGAAGCTGATCTGGAGCGAATAATCAAGTCATCGCGTGCGCGGCAGCTTGAGGTCTCATCTCCTGTGTTGTGCAGGAGATCCATGTTGCGGCGCAACGTTTCAGTAGCATCATACGCGGATCATTTGCCCTAGGATCTGGCTCGATAACATAGAAGTGCTGTAGTACGTCCAGTCAAAAAACAATAAGAGACTGTGACGGTTTCTGAGTTTCCCTACAATATGAAGTCCCCGCACTGCACTCCCTAATCGCACGCAACCTCCGCCGCGCCACAGCAAATCGGATCTCCCGATACGATATAATTATCGTAGTCTCTCCTTTATACAGTCGACCAGAGTCATCGTGTGCCAGTTTCGTAACCCATGACAGCGAAAATTTCGAGGATCCTGAAAGCAGCGCAAAATTTGGTCTTCAAGAGGGCATTCAATACTAGTAATGCTTCTCAGTAACAGAAGTGTTGTCTTTACAAGTCTATGAAGAGAAAACGGTAGCTGTCCATAGATAGTACCCCTTCGACCACAGCCCTCGGAAAAGGGCGAAAAGGAGTGGGGGAGGAAAAAGTTGTAATAATGCGAACAGAGCATACATGCAGGGTCAATTGGACCAGCGCGGCTTTCTTATTGGTGAACACCTTTTTTTGAAATTTCATGATGAGCAGCCCACCAGTGACAAGCGTGTAGCGGTCCAAAGACTCATCCCACACCATCGGCAGCTACTGTACCTACGAGCACAATCAAAAAAGATTTTTGCTCGCCTTACCTTTATAAGAGTTTAGAAATCGTTCCAGATATTTGAACATGTTGTTGTGTGAATTGTAGCAGGAGGCAGTCTCATGGGCTATCTTCAGTTTTCTATCCATCGTCACCAACAAATCGAACGGCCTGCAAGACCTCTTATAACGTTCTACATTGTAACCGTTTACGACAGACACCGACCGACAGACACCTCTGGAAACTTATTCATGGGCGGGGTTTACTGTCCCTGTGGTGCAAAATTTAGAACACTGTGAGCACTGGGTAACGTTGGATTTCACTGGCTGCTAATTTTACTCCATCTTAAACTTCAGCGAGGCGAAAAATGGCCGATCCGTCATCGCAAGACAAGATGTGACCAACAAACTGCCTCTACCAGAATCAAGTGCGGCAGGGTACAACACCGTGATGTGTGAAATGGTGGTACGACCACCCGCCCAAATTTTCTCCACCAGCACGACCTCCTCCCCTTTCCATCCTACTTGCCATCTTCGTAAAGTTTCCAACTTTCTAGCACTTTTCACAGTTTTCCAAAAAATTTTCCATTTCCAAAAAAACTGGCGTCGAGCAGGAGGGAGGGTCCGTTACCAATCAACAGCCGATTTCAGTTATTGAAAACGCTAGTTATATAGTTCTCCTGAGGTAGCAGCAACTCGCCAACTGGAGGAGCAGGGAGGGCTAAGCAAGCGGCACACGACACCCTTCTCCAGCGACCAAATACGTCCCTTGGTCGGATTCTCCCACAATGCACTACCCCAGATGTGGGAGACACCGGACTCACTATTGGACTCTCACTGGCCAAGCGTTAAAGTTGTCAGGGAGGGCTGTCAAAGTTTGGTAAAGCGAATCTAGAGCGGCCACATACAGTATGGGCGATAAAGTGTTTCCACCCTGGACATCTCACTTCTTTGTATTCCCCCAGAAGAACGACTAGTGCTAGTCGTCTTGGTGAACTATAGTGAGAAAACCGAAAACTGTTCAGGAAATACCTGTAGGTATGTTGGAATTCACGATTTTCCAGTCCAACACAATCGGGAAGATTGAGAAGTACTGCAGAAGGAAAGTAGTGAATATCGGTGAAAACAAGATTGTGCGTGAACTCTCCTCGACATAGTCAAGAAGAAAGCAACGCTCTAAACCATTCAACTCAAAAAGATTGTTCAGTATGCATGGTTTTCAACGACAAATTCCCATATCTGCTAGGTACAATGTGCTTTGGGAGCTATAACCGGTGCTTTTCGGGGCGAGGGGGCATGAGAATTTACGAGCATCCGTCGATGTTGCTGGGTGTGGTATACCCCTACTCACTGTTCTGTTTCGCCCCACTTCATCAGATGCCACCACCAACAATCTACCAGATTTCTTCCGAATATATCGCAAGCGGAGTTCCACGGGTTATAAAAACCATGCTGATGATTTAAAACCGCTACAAAATGAGGCCACCTCGAATAGTCTTTGAATTAGGTCTTTGCCGCCTCCAATAAATTGGCTTTGACGTCGACATAATTTTGTGAGGTGAACTGGAGCCCATTAGCCTCCCAGGCTGACGAAACGAATTTTTTTGCCGCGACTGAATATTGAAGGTTGCCGCTATCTGTGCAGCACGTGCGAGCGCGTCGTTGCCCTTGTGGACGTTAGGGAACGTGGTGCGCTAGGAAACCCACAGCAGGGGAAGGTGGTGGTACTTGGTCGCCGCATGGAGCACGTCGTGCTTCACGTAAGCAATTTTTCTTGATAGTTGACATTTCCGCTTTCATACGCGCTATTCACAACATTAGGAGAATCCTATCAAGAGGGGAGGGGTCACCTCCGCTCGTCGTCCTGAGAGATGAGATCACCTGCCGCTCGTCTTCGTCGAGAGATGAGATCGTTGCTGGCCTTCCGAAAAATTTTCCGTGGCTCTTCTCCCTAATCAGTGATGCAATCGAGCCCCATATAACTGCTATCTTCGATACTCAGAATTAGCTTTCGAGTGGTGATATCTTCCCCTTCTCCCTTCGAGCGACAGCTGCATTTCAAGAGAATTAAGAATTTTTACGAGATATGGGAGGAAGCTCAAATAACTTAGGAGATGGAATTAGTCTGGGCACTACTAGGGATTGCGTAGCAGATGAAGAAATTACGAAGGGTAGTTTCAGAAAAATTTTTCACAGCAACAGCAGTCTGTCTTAGCGGCGTCCAGCTGGCGTTATGTCATTCAAACTGGCAGCCGTTACGGGTTGTCAGGATGGCTACAGCAACAAAAATGGTCACGTGTATCGTGAGCGGCTACGTCACACACGGGTTGTGGTAATTGCGCTCAAATACATAATTGTATTCAGTGTGCCACGACTCTGATGAGCTGGATATCGAGGCATTCAAGTAAGACGGATCAAGAAGCTTTAGACTAACACAAGTACGTCAATAAAATTGCCCGAAAACCTTGGGATCAATTTGAAAAATAAGCGGCACCTTGTAACCAGCTTTCCTATATTGAATAGGGATGTAGATCGATTCATCGAGGTATTTCCTGCAGTATGTTGAATACGTCCAGTCGGCTGGTATCGGGTCGCCATCGACCAGTTCGCGTGTCACCGGCTCTGTTGTCTTCCCTGCAAGCCTTTACACATCGGTCAGGGAGAGCTACAAGTTGGTCACGAGCTTTTATCATGGAACTATGGCTTTTTTTGAATCGAGCGGTGGCAAAGGGCTCAACAATATCAACGGCTACAATACTATTGTTTTACTGGTAAATTTAAAGCACTTCTGCTCCACTCGATCAGAAAGCTTCACGAAGAATGCGACGGTAGAAAGACAACGCGTAGTTGTCTTTGAGAGGAATTTGCTGGCGTTGGGGAAAAGTTTTTCCAGGTTGTTGGCTTTTGCGGTTTTTCCGTTTCACTGGTGTTATACAGCCCCTCCCCCCACCATGGCAAAAGTGGTAGGAAGTTGGGAAAATCTAGGAGCGTGGTAGGCAGGATGGGGAGGGAGGGGGGTCGTATTCTGCAATAATTTATCAGAACGCGATGGCGTGCCCTGTCTGTAGGATTCCCATTTGGAAAGGAGAGGAGAGCGAACCCGAAGGGGATGCCACCTGTGGGTTCTAACAGTGTTGTGTGTGCCCTACTAGGGAAAAAACACAGAAAGCTGAGCAAACTGAAGGTTTTCCTGACTCTTAGTTTACTCTTTCCACATCAATCAATTTTATAGAAAAGAGCGGCACTTACCGAAAAGCATCACAAAACCATTCGGACGACTATTGTAGCCAATTTTGTTCAGTTTTCGAAACTGAACGGCGTCCATCGCATTTGTCAAGAAATTAACAGTCCGTGGAAGAGCCCTTAAAAGGGGTTGGTTCGTTGGTGGGTGGATTGAGAGGCAAACTAAATGCACTCGAAAGTTTGGCGCTGATAACGTTGAGGGAGGAGGTGCCACACCTGTAGGGCATGTGACACGAGAACCGTAATTCGCCGCGCCAGTGCGCGTCGCGTGCGACGTCGCGCCCACCAATGAGGACAATTTCAGGTGGCGTTGCTCGAGACAATGTATGAGACACAGTGTGCACCTCGTCTTTGTCTACATGAAATCCGATGCTCCACTCGAAAGGGTAGTGCAAATAAGGAAACGTCGCGCCCATTGCCGCGCGCGACGAAGCGGCAATTCACGATTCTCTTGCCCGGCTCCCACACCTGTAAGCGTTGTCGATGTGCGTGTGTATTTGTCTTTTTACAGACGTGTCTCATCCGGCAAAACCTGTAAACTCTTGTCAAAAATGGCGAGATGGTGCTAGCGTCATAGAAACGTCACTTTTCTATTTTTTTCAGATCTTGACCAGTCATTCCGACAAAAGTGACAGGAGTTCACAGAGTGCTTTACAAGGTCGTCCGATAATCACATGCAAACAATTTAGATAATTTGGTATGCTGACGAGCGCTTACAGGTGTGACACCCCCAAGGGAGTTGGCACAGAAAGTTTTACTATGTTCTTGGCACTGAGAAAGTCACGCTCCACAAATTCTTGAAACTGTAAAGATCACACCTGATGGCTTGAGAAGAGGCGACTGAGTCCAAAAGAATTATGTGCACATGAGGATGTATATTAGCATGAACCGATTTGGTACTGAAACATCAAAATTAATAGTCTTCATCAATGACGAAACCTGTTAGCGGCGAGCAGCGTACAGAACACACAGGCGTGCGGTCGCGATGCGTTGTCATCAACGGACGCAAATTAGCCACGATGAAGCGCAAATTGATTTCGCAAGTGCACAATGTCATCAGCAAAAGGCTGGCTGCGTAATTCATTCAAATGTGGTGGCTGCTCTGCTTTCGGTGGGATAATGCCGTTTTCGGTACACGTGATCATGCATTACACAGGTGCCCGAAATGGATATAAACACTAGTCCTAAGCTACGCCATTCTCGGACAAACCACGCCCCCTCTCCCTCCGGGATATGGTGGGTGAAAAACGGCGGCACCGCCCACTCCTGACTGCTTCTTTCTTTCTTTCAGAATTCAAGCAAACTGTTACTGTACTGGATTCCGTTGTATAGTTACAGCCGTCATCCGAGCAGTTGATTAGGCCGTCACAGGGTTACAGACGCGGCTGCGG